CATGCATTTAATACTTCCAAAATCTCTCATATAAAACAACCCACTTTCCATGCTTATGCCCTAATATGTTATATTATCCTCCTCCACTATATAAATTATAGATATATTAATGTTTACATCTCTAAGTGTTTATAGAAATACTTCCATAAACCTATTTTCTAACCCATTATATATTCTCCAACTTCATATACTTATGCCTCTCTAAATAAATATATATTAATTATTATTTACGTCCAATAATTATTAATAATTTCTTTCCATAAACCTTACTTTTATTCAATTTAAGAGTATAATAATTTTTTAATTATATTCTTTATTTCTATACTATCATATCCACCTACTGAGTCCAACTTCTCTTCTGCCCAAATTACTGTCAGCTTAGATATTTTTAGAAAATTTATATCGGCTGACTTTTTCCATTTCAAATACTAGATCTATTCTAAATTAGTCAAAAAATCATCATATATAAAGTCATTTTCATTTTCACTTTTTATATTATTTATATATTATTTTTACATTCTTATTATTTATCCATCATAGATATATTTCATTTCTGTTTTAGAATATATAATTGAGACTTTTGTTTTTACAAATTTATTATTCCATTAATCCCATTAAACACAATCTATTATTTAATTCTTGTTTTACTATTATTATACTCTATTATTATAATTAAATATTTGTATTCACTTATTTATTGGTTAATGCTCTTTTTAATCATTTAGATTATTTATATCTAGATTCATTGTTATTATTTTAATAACTTTTATTATTTTAAAAAAATCTAGAGATCCATATATTTATTTAAAGTTTAATAGAAGGGAATTATAAATATCATTTTTGGTTTTCTCTTCAGGTATTTATTAATTAATTGAGTTATTTAAATAAAATATATTTACCTTGTTAATTCAATATCTAATTGCTAAATCATAGATAAAAACAATAAAACTTTTGAAAATATGAATTATTTGAAGGTATATCACTTACTAGACAATTCCTTAACCCCATATTTCATAACTAATTTGAAATTATAAGTATAAAATCAACTTTATCATCGGAAGTTAATCCTAGTGATGGAATAAACGAAATAAGAAGATGTTAAAAGATGAATTAAAATGATGGCTTTGATAATATTAATTATTTGTTTTCAAATCCATATAAAAACTCTTGAAGTAGCTAATTATTTAATATGATTTCAGTGATTCTTGGCTGAATTTTAGTTTTTATGAAAACCCAACTTCTTTCCTAGAGGCTTTTGCCTTTTTTATAATAAAATTTTAGAATATATTTATTCTAATTATTTCAGAATGATATTGATACATTAAGATAAAAATTTTAAAAAAATTTAGATTAAAGTTTTAATTTTTGCAATCTTAAGACTGTTAATCTTTTACATGTAAATTAGCAAATATTTAAGGAGTAGTATTCTTTTTATAAACAGTATTAATATACAAGTTAAATTTTAATTTAATCTTAAAACTAAAATTCAAATATTAGTTTGATTTATTTAAGTAATTATGATTAAATTGTAAGAAGAATAATTATTTCTTATTATTAATTATTATTATGTACAAACTTGTCATCATAGTTTTATTTATAAATGTTATGGTAGATGATGCATACAATCCAACAATCTATGAATAAATTATCATTAAGACCTTGAAATTATGACTTTCCATTAATAATATCATAGGATCACCTTATGCTGTTACTGAATTTATTTGTAATTCTAAACGAGAAACAGACTAAGATATCATAAATTTAAGAAAAGAAGCTTAACGATATGGGATTAATACTTATGCTAGATTTCATTCCAAATCATTCTGCAATTGATAGTCCATTTAGAACATCAAATATAGACTATTATATTAGAGCACCCCTAATACTCCTAAGTCTTATGATTCTGAATACTACTTACCTGATGGAGTTAGTTATGGTGGTAATTAATGGGATGGATTTTGGAAAGACACTGATTAGTGGAATTATTGGAATTAAGATACAAGAACTTTTCTCAAATCTATTGTCAACAAAATAGCCTCAATTTCATATGGTATGAGATATGATATGGAGCCTTAATTAAATGCTTAGGATAAAAACAGACCATCAACTATATTTTGGCGATGAAGCCATTAAAGAAACTAAATAACAATATCCAAACACTTTATTCTTGGCAGAAGTTTATTGGAGCAAGATATTGGATTAATAAGCTGCTTTAGATATAGGTAAAGTTAGACCTTATTATCAAATTTAAATGTATAAGGTTTAATCATATGAAATTAATTTGCATCTCATTCGAATCATGATGAACCAATAGCTATTATAAATTTACTGGTAAAGACACTATATCTTGTATCGGTGCTTTAATGAGTTATTCTATTCCTGAAGCTAGGTTTATTAATCATGGCTCATTAAAGATAAAATGTAGTTTAGG